TATATATATATATATATATATATATATATATATATATATATTCTATGAGTCTATCATGTATCATGTTCTGGTCTGTATCTCTATCTGTATCATTATTGGTCAGAGAGCTGAGCAAGCAGGGCTATTCCTACATTTAGTGGCAAATCCTTCTGAGAGGTAAGGAAGCCAGTTGTAATTAGATGGGTTTTTTTTTCTATTACTTAAATTGAAACAAGTAATTGAATTCTTAATTAATGGCTTTAAACTACCTTGGGATGTGAAGTGCCAGAGAGTTATTCTATGTGCTAAGTATGACTGGGAGGGCTTAGGGAATCCTGTCATGAATTAACACTGAAATCCACAGAGTCTCTGGCTGTGAGTAAAACGCCATTTCAAACACAACGGAGAAAAAAAATCTTTAAAAGCACTTCCTTTGCTTGTTCTCCACCCCACCCTTAGGTTTTCCCCTTGGCCTCTATCAAAACATCCATCCTTGATTTACTGTGCATCACCCCTGTTGGAGCCCTCAGATGTTAATGTTTTTTGGGTATGACAAGCTTGTTTGGAAGGAAGTTGCTCAGTTTTGGGTCCATCTGTAAAATATCTAGCTGACTGACCACAGGCTACAAGGATAAGGAAACTGCTCTTTGGGGCATGCAATTTCATCTTAAAGCCTTTGAAGATGAAGTATCTCTTGGTCTGGGTGGTAACCTAGCCAAGGGTAACCTCTACAAATCCCTCACTTACTGGTTTGAGACTCTGCTGCCCACGAAGAAGGAAGATGTCTTCCCACTTTACCTGTTCCCCTATTCCTCTTCATTGTATGTCAGGAGAAAGGCTTTCTTGACTGTATAATAATTTCATAGCCCCCCAAAAAAAAAGAATTTCATAGCCCAAAGGAACGCCTCCAACAGGTATATCATGTAGAGATAGAAAAAGGAGACTTTCTGTTAAATTCCTGGGGAGTGTTCGGAAGTTTGCTAGGAAGGTCTTGGTATTTCAAACGAGTCAGGAGAATTTATTAGGTCATTATCTGGCTGGGTAATGTCTCTTCGAGTCAAGCAGGGAGTATTTCACATCTGGGAAGGTTTTAAATGTCTTTTTTATTATTACACAGATGTTCACATCTGCAGACCCTTCCCTTATGTGGAATTGTTTTCCTTTCCCTTGTTAAATTTCTTGGCTCATCCTGAAAAATAATCTGCAGTAATCTAAGCCAACTCACGACAGATGCAAACACTCTAGAGACCACTATTTTTTATTTTACCCACTTTATATTCCTGTCTGGAAACATTTATTGGTATTTATGTGAGTGAATTTAGAAGACATGTTTGGTAAAAATGAATTTATTCATGTAGTGGGAGAAGACCATATAAGACAATCATTTAGAGACCTATAAATATGTAAAACAAAAATTAAAAAGCTAAAATATAATTGCATAGATTTTATTTTAAAATGCATTCCATTTTCTGATTCTCTATAGGTTCTTAAAATGGAAAAGAATAATACTTAAATCTGCATGTTCAGAACATACATGTTATATAGTTATCCCTTAGTGTCCATGAGGGACTGGTCCCAGGATCTCTGAAAGATAGCAAAATCCAGGGATGCTCAGCTTCCTTAAATGGCATAGTGTTTACATATCACCTGCTCACACCCTGTGGTATGCCTTATGTCATCTCTATATTACTGATAATACTTCACACAATGTAAATATTTTGTTATACTCCGGTGCTTAGGGAATACTAACAAGAAAATGTTGGTACATGTTGTATACAGATATAACCCTTTTTCAAATATTTTGGACCCACAGTTAACAAATTCAGGATCTTTGGATATGGAGAAACAATTTTATAGTCCCTACACTTTAAAAGCAGAGTCAGTTCTCAGCTCCAGAGATCCTAAATCTGGATGTGCATGGGTAAGCCCACTCAGCTATGGAATTAGGTTGGTCTGGGTGGAAGCCTGGGTCTCAGAGAGCCAGGTGGATAGTTGACCTTGAGAATTCCATTTAAGTGCTCAGTGAACTTGCTCAGATTTGACAAGGTACTTTTCTCCACTTCAAGATAGTAGAATTTTCTTGGCCCCAAAGGTCAATCAGTTCTTCATAGTCCCAGAAAGTGGGTCAGGAACCTCCCAAGCAAGACTCCACTGATGCCACATGGTACCTCCCAGAGGCTGCTGGAGGCCCAGTCCTAGCACCATGGTGAACCTAGAACTACACCTTCCATTCCCTGGTAGAGCCCGAGACTTGGGGTCTGCAGACCTGGGTGCCATCCCTGCTCGGTTATCTCCACTTGTAATACCTGACCACAGTTCATTCATAAAACCATTCTAGGCTTTATTTTCCTCATCTCTAAAGTAAAACCATAATGCTTTCCTAGGCTTGTGAGAATAAATAAGCAGACAGATATTGTCTCCTGTGCAACACTACAAAACTAGCCAGTTTTGCTGTGGTACTATTTTGTTATTGTATTGGTATGACCCCAGGTGTTGTTTACCAGGTTTCTATTACTATAATAAAATGCTCACGATGGTGAACTTTTAAAAAGCAAAATGTTTATTTTGCCTCACAGTTTCAGAAGTCCACTACTTTTGGGCCTGTGACGAGGTAGCATGTTATATCGCAAGGGCCTGAGGTGAAACAAAATGGTTTCCACCACAGCTTTGGTGGTAGAACAGTGGCCTAAAGCCTGCTTCTAGGTCCAGTCCCTTAAAGTTTCCATCAGCTCTCAATAGCACCAAGCTGGGAAACAAGTTTTTAACATGGGGGGGAGGGGGTTGGTGCTGTTGAGAGACATTGAAGATCCAGATGGTAGCACCCTAAATCCCAAGGCCACCTTCTTAGTAACCTAGCCCCTGCCTCAGCCTAGGTTCTCCAGGATTAGTTTCAGGGCAAAAGCTCTTCATTCTCCATGTGTACTTAGCCTGGACTGAATGGGGAAGGCATTATCACAACTTTCCCTGGGACTAGACCATCCGTGTCAGGAGCACCATCTGATTATGGGCTTGACCCTGGAGACAGCGACTGTAGGAATATTCAGTCCCTTCCTATGAGATAAGGGTCTTGGGTTGTAGAACAGTTCTCCCAAGGCAAGAAGCAAAGGGCTGAAGGGCTGGTAGGAATGAGGGGCAGTGCAGTAGAATGGTCCCAGCTCGGATTGATCTTGTACAGGTGTCTGGTTTCCTCAGTGGTGTAATGAGACAGTAAGACTGCTTTGTGTTGAAGAGTGAACGTGTTGGTATGCATAAATCTCTCAATGCAGTTTGTGTCACCCAGGCATTGGACCAGCAGCTGTCATCAGACAAGGCTAACCCATGTGTCTCCCCTATCCAGTGCCTAGCCCCTCTTGTAATGGCTTTGACAACACCCTCTCAAGACCCTGCCGCGTGCCCCTCGGGAAGGAGATCTGCTTCATTGCTACCGTGCGTCTGGCTACACCACAGTTCTTAAAGGCAAGTCATCATGTGGAGCTGTTGGAGCTGGAATTGCATTGCTTCATGGGAGAGAATGAAATTGCTATGAAGTTGTCACTAGCTTTGAAAAAAAAACTCAAATGTCTGGGTTACTGGCCCCATCTGAGACTCTAGTTTCCATATAACGTTATTTTCAGGGGGGATGGCGGAGGGTGGGGACACAGATACTGCTTGATCGTTCTATCTTCCTACCCTTTGTATTAACGTGAACACTGCTCAGAGCAGGCGTGGGCCAGAGCTGAGAGTCAGAAAGTCAAAAGATTGACTCCTTCGGTATTGCCTTCCCATCCCTGGCACAAATGAGGAGTTAAATTAGTCATTCAAATTCAGATGAAGAGCCATTTTGCACATGTTTACCACATTTTCAGATAATGGGAAGGGAGTGGTGTGACATTTTGGCTCCTGGGTATTTTTCCCCAGCTTGGGAAATAAATTTAGTATCAGCTAATACCGAAATTAGCTACAGATGACGAGTTTCAGTCCAACACAACTTGGAGACAGGCTCAGAACGATTTTAACTTCTGTTACCCACCATGCATTCCTTTTGAACAAACCTAGGGGAGAGCATCTGGCCCCCCCAAATGACATGATAATTTTTTCCCCTCTTCCAATGCAGGAAATGTGTATAGTTGATGAACCTTTAGAAGAATTCACTTCAAGGCATAGCTTGGAATGGAAATTTTTATTTCTGGATCACAGGTCTGTAAAAAGAAAAACATATTTGGGTTGGGTCCTTTTCAAGTGTTGTTTGCAAGAGCCAGGCTGTGTGTGGGAGAGAAAGGTCCAGCCTGGTCCCCTGGAAGGGAAGGGCAAACTTGCCTGTTCCTGGCCAAAGAGGCAGTGGGTGGCCTTCCATGCACCTGTTCACCTGTCCTAGAGCTGTGTTGGTTCTCTGTTCAGTTGATGCTCAGCCCTAGGACATCTTTGAGACGATCCACACTCTGGCCCTTACCATGTCCTACAATGGCAGAAGCCAGTGTAGAAGGAATCTCTCCTGAGGTTTCTTTCACCATGCCATAGATCCCTTAGTCCAGCCCTTTGTCTTTCCTTGGTAGTATTACTTAAGAATTAACCATCTCCCTTCTCCACCCTTTAATTCTTTATTATACTTAGCTATTGAGCTAACTCAATCTATAGCTGTTTCTAATTGTTCAATACATTTTATTATCATTTGGGTTGGGCTTTGCCAAGAGAATAGAATATTTAAATGCCCAAATAATGAACTTTTGCTCAGTGCTGGTGGCTTATGCCTGGAATCCTAGCTATTCAGGAGGCTGAGATCTGAGGATTATGATTTGAAACCATCCTTGGCAGAAAAAGTCTGTGATTCTTATCTCTAATTAACCAGCAAAAGCCAGAAGTAAAGGTGTGGCTCAAGTGGTAGAGCACCAGCCATGAGCAGAAAAAGCTAAGAAAGAGCAGGAGGCCTCAAGTCCAAGCACAAATAATAATTAATTAATTAAATGAATAAAATAAGTAAGCCCTTCGGAAAAAACTAAAAGCTCTTCAGTCCTGACCATTGGAAAGTTTTTATCCCACATCCTCACCTCAGGCTCTTGAGAAATGAAGCCTCCATTTGGACCACTAAGCATACAAACTGCAGCTCGCATACTTCATCTTGACTGGCGTGACCAGCATGTGTATCCGACAGGGTTTTGTCTGATGAAGAATCCCCTTGTCCTCCTGCAGAGCCCCGCCCATCATAGGATACCTGCCCTTTGAAGTACTAGGCACCTCTGGCTATGACTACTACCACATTGATGACCTGGAACTCCTGGCCAGATGCCACCAGCATTGTGAGTACCACTTTCCCAGCCCAGGCCTTCTGCTTTGTCCACAAGGGCCCAGACAAAGGGCATTTTGCTGCTGGAAGTCTTTCTATTACCTGAGTTTTCTCTGCAATGATTGGGATATATTGGAGGTCCTTGTCTGCTTCAACTCGCCTGTGTTCTGCTCTAGCTCAGAATTAACTTTACATCAATCCCCAGTACTGTGTCAGGATCATTCAGACAACTATGTGATTTAATCATCATCAAGAAATTAAGGGACTGTCAGAATTTTCTTTATGCATTTCAAAGACAAAAAACCAAATGCACGTAACTCTTTAAGCACAGGTATTGGTCACCAGCTCTTGGCCACATACTGGGCTGCTCCTCTTCAGATCCCGCATTCTCCCAGTCAGTGGCCTTGATAGCCTGAGATTTTTTTAAGGAAAAGTTCTCTGTGAGCATCAGGAGATGGCAGTGTCCATGAGACTTCCTGCCTTGCCTTTTGCAGAGCAAGGCATGGTAGGAAAGCCAGAGACAGCTGACTTGGCAGGATATTTATCGGTGCACAAGGTATTGGAGGAGCAGGAAGACCCCTTAGACAGCTGATGGGGAAGTCAGCGAATGCTTTCTACCACAGAAGACAACTGTGATTAGGATTCAGGATGTGAAGGGTGAGAATGATCAGCATGTCCCTTCTCACTGAAGTTGAGAATTAACCATTCACAAGCATATTTTCAGTGCTTCTTCTTAGTAGTAGCATTGGCTTGTGTGTCATGATACATCAATAGACCACTAGTGTATTTTAATGGATATTTTGTCTGTAAAACCCATTCACATTTTCTCATCTGTGTTATCCTTGTGGAAGGAACAACAGGCTTGAGCTCCAGCTGGATCAGCTGTTGGAATTTAAGTTTCATCTTTAAAGCTTTAACCAACTAATGCTCCCTCAAAGTGTGGGTGTGACCACAGTGGGTTTGCTAGACTTGTAGAATCCCAGCTTCTTTCCACTCAGCATAAGACTCAGAATATCCATTTTCACAAGAGTCCCATGTGATTTATACATCCATTCAAATTTGAGTAGCACAACTGCTTTAAACCCTTGACAGAGTCCGATTCCTTTAGCAGAGAAAAGCCACTCCGGCCAAAGAATGATGTTTGGCATCTGCAAGACTGTGGCTTGGGCTAGATGGTCTTGCTCTGTGAAGACCACATCCACACCCAGCCTTCTCTTAAGTCACTGGCCCCTGTAGTAGCTTAGTGTCCTCAGTAAGATTTCTCTTTGTTGCCAGGCATCAGTGGCTCACACCTGTAATCTCAGACTATTCAAGAGGCTAGAGCAAACAGGTCCCTTATCTCTAATTAGCCAGAAAGGAGTCAGAAGTGGGGCTGTGGCTCATATACTAGAGTGCCAGCCTTGAGCAAATAAAGCTAAGAGACAATGGTCAGGCCCTGAGTTCAAGCCCCTATACTGGTGTGTGTGCGCGCGCACACGGATTTCTTTTAATTATTTTCACCAGGATGCTACATTTCAGCCTCTCTAGCAATAAAACAAGTTGTACTTTTTCCTCAGATCCATAGTCCATTCTGCCCTTGAACAGACTAATTAACCATTAACAGTCTTCCTGGGCACCCCAGAGCAGTCAATGGCAGACATACCATAGGGACTCCAGGAAGGTCTGAAGCTAAAGGAGGAAGGTAGGGGGAGAGGCATCCATATCAGTTCTCCAGCTGTACAAACTGTCTCAACTTCTGACTGGCAGCAAGAGAATCTGTCCAGCAGTTGCTGGCTGTCAGGTCTATTTTGGATCCAATTCTCCCAGTGTCAGGATGCTCCCTCCTCTGCTTAGCTCTGGCAGCTCCAAAGACAACTTACCTGCAGGGAAAAGATGAACCCCAGGAAAGCCAGGGCCTCTTTTTTTTTTAATTAAGCCATGCAGTTTGAAGATCTGTCTAGATCTGCCCTTAATTCAAAGATCTCTTGCAGCTTTTGAGCATTTGGGAAAGTACATGGATCATTCTGTTTAGAATTTGTTAGACTTTGACTGTAGAGCATTTGCCTAGCACACAGCCTTGAGTTGAATCCCCAGCAATACAAAGGAAGCAAGGGAGGTGAGGGATGGTGGAGGGAGGGGAGAAGGAAGGGGGATAAGAAGGGAAGGAAGTGAATGGAAAAAAGTAAGGAAGGGAAAGAGGGAGAAAGACAGAAAGGGGAAGGGAAGGAGGGTTAAAGGAAGGAGGGAGGAAGGGAGGGAGGGAAGGTGAGAGAGATTTGGTAGTAAGTCTTGGGATGGAAGATTGCCCAGCATTGGTGTATATTACATGCAGAATCCATTTTCTACCCCAGTGATGCAGTTTGGCAAAGGGAAGTCGTGTTGCTATCGGTTCCTGACAAAAGGCCAGCAGTGGATTTGGCTGCAGACCCACTACTACATCACCTACCACCAGTGGAACTCCAAGCCCGAGTTCATCGTGTGCACACACTCGGTGGTCAGGTACTGTGTGGGTAGGGAGGCTGGGCCAGGTCCTGGTGACTGGGGCTGGTCAGCAGCCACCTCTGGTACTCCCTGTATCTAAGAATCAGACAGGGCCGTCATTGGCAGATAGCAGGACAGTCCCCAGAGCTCAGTCTCTTCGGGTGCCCACCCAGCTCTCTCCTCCCCAGGCTAAGACTTCTTTTGAGTCTTTAGCCAGGTCCCTTTCAGTGGCTCATGAACTCTTTTAAGCTGCCAGGATCTTACTTGGTGAGTTCCTGCTTGAATGACCTACTTACATATTTTCCCTTGTCTTTATCCATCCCCCCAGCTTTCCCTTGTCGCTGTTTTGAGAAGAAAATTAAAACATTGCCTCTAAAGAACTCAAACACGTACTCCTTTTATTTTTAATGCTTCAAAAACCCGTGCTGACAACTGAGGCTGTGTTGGAGACACCACTGAGCTGCTATGTATGGGAGGGGGTCCCCGGGGAATAGGGGTTCCGGATGACCTCAGGGAGCCAGCACGGACTATCAGGACTGAAAGAAGGCATGACATAGACACCTCCTGGTTGGGGTCCCTACACGTAGAGAGGGAGGGGAATGAACAGTGGCACTCCTCCCTTCCCCCAGCCACTGCAGAAATGTTCAGACCATCAATCAGTTTGAAATTAGTTTAGAAAAAGAGCCTTTGAGAAAAACAAAGGCCAGGAGGAGTACATTTCATAAAGTCAGCTCTCTATATCTACTATATTTTATGTCTTTGGAGTCAACCAACCATGGAGTGAAAAAAAATTTTTTATTTATCTCTTGGGTAGGAGGGGCTAGGAGCTGTTGGCTAACTCCTAAAATCCTAGCTCCTGAGGAGGCTGAGTTCTCAGGACTGAAGTTTGAAGCCAGCCCAGACAGAAAAGTCTATGAGACTCTTATCTCTAACCAGCAAAAAGCCTGAAGTAGAGCTATGGCTCAAGTGTAGAGTGCCAGTCTTGAGCAAAATAACCAATGAGCACTGCCCTAGCCCTAAGTTCAAACCCCAGTATTGGCAAAGAAAAAAAAATGACCTCTGTACTGAACATATACAGATGTTTTTCTTCTTGCTGTTTCCTAAACAATGTAGAGTAGCAATGTACATAGCATTATACTGCGTTAGGTATAAGTCACCTACAGATGATTTTGCACAGATGGGAAACATCAGGCTGTGGAGCATATAAAACCCTCAAAGTCATTTGCTACATGACAGAATAGATAAGTGTACTTCTCTCATGTGTCCCCTTGACTGCCTGCGGTGTCTAGCTGCATTTCTAATTTTATATAGCCAATAATGATGTTTTTATACACATACCTCTTGCCAGAAAAAAGGTTCCTACTCCTGAATTTTCAAGTACACTGGAGCCTGACACCAGTTACTCACATGTGTAATCCTAGCTACTCAGGAATCTGAGATCTGAGGATCACAATCTGAAGCCTGTCTGGGCAGAAAAGTCTGTAAGATTCTACCTCTAGTTAAGTAGCAAAAAAGTGGGCTAGAGGTATGGCTCAAGTGGTAGAGTACCAGTCACACACACCAAATGACTATTATGTTTGAAGATTTCAGAGAGTGGGTTGGGGTAGGGAAGATAGCACAGGAGAAAGGAATAATATCCTAGAGGGGCTGGGAAGTTGGTAGAGTGCTT